TCTGTCCCTTTAAAAAGTGTTTCGTCTTGAAGTAAATGCCATTTCAACGCTTGATCCATTGTGGATTTTCATTTCCTAATTACAGGAGTAACTTCATTACAGCGCCCATTACAGAATTTCCAAAAATGTGGGAATAAATTTGAAATAAATCCATATTTATTTGTGGGTAGTTGTAATACTGTACCTGATATATTGCTTTATTATTGTTGAAGGGGGTATTTCTGACTCCTTTTATTCTCAAAATATCAGTCTTTGTCAAGTTAATGTGAATGCATTTGCCACTTCTGCAGCATACAAATAAATCTCGTGTCCAGATACCTATTCCATATTTCAACATCATGCACTATATATCGAAACCTTTAATTCATTGCACATATTTAGTGCCTATTGTTCTTTAGTGGTTATTCAATGCTTGTTATAGTTTTAAAACCATGACTTCATCTCCATTCTAAACAATACTTAGATAAAATGCTTGCAATAATTGTGAATACTCTAACTCTTTCAGTAAAATGTTTTTTCAAAATACCTAATTTCTAATCAAAGCATTAAGAGAGCGGAGATGTCATCCTTGTTATGAGCTTTTGGTGGGTGTTAAGAAAGAAAAATAAACATCTTAAAAAAGAAATCTTTATTGAAGACATTCTTTAATGTCAACAGCTGCATTTGATATTAGAGTGGTATTCAAAGAACAATAAAAAGACACTGGGACAGCACATAAAAAAATAATTTCCAAAACAAACAAACAAAAAGATACACTACCAACTCATCAATTTTATTTTTGAGTTGTAACACCTAAAGACTACTTATTTCCATACTGATGTGTAGTCCTTCTAAATAGTTTTATAATATGGCAGGAATACAGAACTACCACTAGAAAATTCTTAAACTTAGGATATGTAGTGTTAACTTTACAAAAAAGGAGTTTAACACTGTACATCATAAAAACATTAAATATACACATTTGACTTGCGATTCAAGATGGCGAACTGAGTACATTAGGATTACATGGCATAAACAAAAAGATATGTCCCATCTTTACGTGATTTACTCATCATCCTCTTCCTCCTCCTCCTCTTCTTCCTCGTCTGCCTCCTCTTCGTCTTCCTCCTCATCGTCGTTGGCTGCAGCCGCTGGTTCTGAATCCACTCTGCCCTTAGTGCGGTATGAAACAATATCCTGTGGAGAGTATGAGAGAGCATGTTTTTAACTTAAAATTACCTATTTTACCTTGATAGATTCATACTAAATGATATAACGAGGTGATCGGATCTGAACAGAAGTCGCTTTAATCACGTGGTAGCCACTCACCTTGTCATATTTCTCTTTCAGCTTGGCAGCCTTCTTTTCATACGGCTGTTTTTCTTCTGCAGACGAGCCGTTCCACATCTCTCCGAGCTTCTTAGCCGTGTCCCCGATGGAAAGTCCAGGATGTTCCCCCTTTACCTTGGGGCGGAAGTCGGCACAGAACAGAAAGAATGCAGACCTGTGGGGGTAGAAGTGGGGGAATTAAATGTTGTTTGGGGAGATTATCGATTATACTGTGGTACAAAAAAAAAATTAAGTCACATACGGTGGTCTCTTAGGGGCATTTGGGTCCTTGAATCGCTTCTTCTTCTGGCCCTTAGGAGGCACATAGTTTTTCATTTCCCTCTCATAACGTAGCTTGTCCTGTTTAGCCATATCTTCAAACTTTCCCTTTTCCTTTGGTGACATGGTCTTTGAGACAGAATGAGAGAAAAGCAAACATTTATAATGCAGGACACAAAAGCAAACCTGCAAACATTTAGCATGTTTAAAATACTACACCTAAACAGACCTAACCCTAATAAACAGACACTCATAACTCCTGAAAGACCCTAAGACTAAGCATAAGCTTAGAGGGGAAAGCACTTTTGCTGTTGCAGCTTTAAAGCTCTGGAATGACCTGCCTCAGCACATCAGACAGGCCTCTTCTCTGACTGTTTTTAAATCTCTTGTCAAAACCCCCTTTTCTCTTTGGCTTTTAACACCTAGCAAGAGAGTGTTTTTTTTTTTTTTTTTCCCCATCTTTTATTACATTTATCAATTACACAACTTAACTGATTTTATTAAGTGAGTGTTATTTTAACCCATATTTTAGCTGTTCCTTTTTTGTTCTGTTTCATGTTTTATTTGTTCATTTATTTTTTCTTTACAGCACTTTGGTCAGCTGTGGTTGTTTTAAGTGCTTTGAATATAAAATTGGATTGGATAACCAACCATAATTAGACAGAAATACACATCACCAGCCCTCATTAGTGGTCAGCTAGTTGGATCTAAAAATTGTATCAATTATTTTGTTACTTTTTAAGGTACCAATTCTGTTTATTATTGGAAATCAGTAAAATGTTTTTTGTTTATCTACTAGGAATAAAGAAATGTTTGTTTGATACAGCTTATTTGAAGGAATCTAATAAAAAGGAATTGTAAATCTTGGCAAACATGGCCATTCTACTGTATCTTTTTGGGTGAGCAAATTTGGGCCTAAAAGGGAAATGTAGTCTCCTTTCAATAGTAAAGTTGTTGCTTTGATTTAAACTGTCCAAGATCTATCGCTCTGACTCCTCTGTCTGTAGTTTGTGTTACAGTGTATGAACCTGATTGCGTCAATGAATGCAGCAGGTGACTGTGGTAAACGTAGTACAAAAAAGTGCATCCTGTCAAATAAAAATAATCAAATCTTTAGAAAAGTTTATTTTTTTTAACAACACTTTGATAAATCTGGCAATCAATAATAAATATTTGGTCCACAAACAAATCTCTGGTCAGTAAGACTAATGTTTACCTTCCATCTTTCAGAGCATTTCTTGGAGAACTCTGAAAAGTTAACAGTGGCATCAGGATGCTTCTTTTTATGCTCCTCTCGGCAGGTTTGCACAAAGTAGGCGTATGAGGACATTTTGCCCCGGGGCTTTTTTGGATCCTTCACCATCTTGTCTTACTAGAAGAAAAAAAAAAAAACAAGAGGAAAAATATGCATCCAAGTGGAGTGACACAACAGCAGGAGAGAGAATATGCAAATTTCCCTTTGCTCCACTGTCTGTGTCTTGCTTTGTCAGTCCAGTCTATTGTTTAAACAAGAGGGGCAGGAGGAGGAGGGGGGATGCCTTGGGTGACTGATGATCCACTGCATGAAAGGCCAACATTACGCTTCTTTAAACACTGCTTCTTGTTATTGTAGCTGTAGTTACACAGAGGTCAGATGAAATCAGATGAAAACTGGTTGCCGCAACATTAAATACTGTCCTAACGTCGTTCCTGTGTGCAGGCTTCAGTTAGCAAATGAATACATTAGCAATGGCCTCCTCCTCCTCCTTTGATTGCCCGCTAGCTGTTAGCCATTATGGCTCCGCTCTCGCTTTGTGTCCTTTTGTTTTTAGCATTAGCTTTGAGCTAAGTGCTCCTTTTAAAGCAATAATTAAAAATGCTGATTAAAATAGTTCGAATTAACGGAGTTCTTATGTAAACAAACACGTTGTTTTCAATACAATTACGCTTAACATTTAAGTTAATTATATATTGTCATTTTTTTGTTTTGTTTTAATGTTGTTTTTTTTAATAATCCTGGTGTCGGAGAGATGCTCCGCCCGTCTTATCAAACACAGGGGCTGCCTCAGCACCACTCTGCGCTAGCAGCTATTCCAGCAGCTAACCCATCAGCTAAACCAGCAGCTAACGTTGAAACATAGCAGCACAGCTAGGAATAAACAGCTACAGTTAGCCGGCTAACGCAGTAGGCTAACAGACAAGAGAGCCCTCCTCTCTGTCAGCTGCTTACACATAAGGTGACGCTGCTTACTCAGAAAACGTAGCTTATAAAAACAGTTATGTATTCCGTGAGTAGCAGCTAATGCCAGTTTAGGGCGTCTACATAATGAAACGAGCATCATTAAGCAGCTTGTTGGGTTAGCAACCAATCTATTCTCAGAGTCAAACATACAGAGTAGAGATGCGATGATAAGCTGAGCGTTCACTCATATGTGCTACATAGCGTTACATTGAGGATGCTTACCGATCGGTTGTGCCTCTCAAACAATGGGACGAGAAGCACAGGGAGCGCGCGATCTTTTCCCTCCGAGAATTCCTCTGTTTATCCGGTGTATTCAGCTCCGGCTGTCGGACATTGGCTGCCGCCAACTTCTTAGGTGTCTTATTGGACACTCGCTGCTCTAGTCCCGTTTGATGTGCGGTTGGTTGCCCAAAACCCGACGGGACGGTGGCGCTAAAATTGAATAGAATAGAATAGAACAGAACAAAAATAGAATAGAATAGAATAGAATAGAATGGAATACAATAAATTAGAATAGAATGGAATAGAATAGAATAGAATAGAATAGAATAGAATAGAATAGAATAGAATAAAATAAAATAGAATACAATAGAATAGAATGGAATACAATAAATTAGAATAGAATGGAATAGAATATAATAAAATAGAATAGAATAGAATAAAAATAGAATAGAATGGAATAGAATAAAAATTAGAAAATTAGAATAGAAAAAAGTCACACAAATGTGGATCTTAGAAAAATGTATAAGAATAGCATAATAGTGAATAGGTAAAAAATAAACAATAAAATACTGTACTGTTAAGTGTTTTAACAATGTAAAACTGTGCACCTGAATAAATAACCAATATACAGCTATGGACATTTTTACAGTAATGGATATTGGAAAATAGCAGCAATATCAGCAGAGATGTGTAAATGGACACCAGGGTATTATTTAACTGACTAAGGTAGAAACTGTAAAATTAGCATGAATGTAAGAACTTAATGTAGATTGTTGGGAACAGTGATTATAGAGTCATACAGCAGCTGGGAGGAAGGATCTGTGATGACTCTCCCTGGTGCATTTAGGCTGCAGCAGTCTGTCACTGAAGGAGTTCTCCAGTTCTGCAACAGCTTCATGCATGTGGTGGGAGACCTTATCCAAGTTTGAATGGCCCTTCAGTGCTTGTAAGTAAGAGGACACATAAAAAAAAAACATAGATACAGTTTGATTTAAAATAATTATTTTATTTGTAACAGTAGAAGGAACAACACAGTACAAAGCTATTGAAATGAGAAAATAAATAAAAACAAAAAGATAAATAACTACTACCGCTAGTAAGGTGACCAGACACCCCGGATTTCCGGGGCAGTCCCCGCTTTGCACCACCTGTCCCTGAAATGTGTCCGATAAATACTGTTTTAGCAAAGCAAACTAAACAGAATGTTAGTTAAACTAATTTGGTGACATTATCTCAAGCTTCAGAGTCTGTAGATCAGAATTATCTCCTGAGTAATCATAATTTAGTTTGACTTAAAAATATAGGCCTACTCTTTTTATCAGAGAAAAAAGGATGTCAGACTATGCTAATAATAAGGAAATAAATAAAAATATACACAACTTGAAGATGGATGGATGGATGGATGGATGGATGGATGGATGGATGGATGGATGGATGGATGGATGGATGGATGGATGGATGGATGGATGGATTGATTCTGACTTCTCTCACAACTGCAGATTTAAGAGTGTTTTGTCAAAAAGGGTGTCGGTAACAATCATTTTGATATCATAATCATTTGTTTCAAAATGTTTGTTTAATTATTCTCAGCAGAAATAGGATTACATTGTTCTTGTCAAAGCTAATTTTCTCTATGCCCATACTACACTCAATACCATGGTTGTGATTGTTCTGAATTGTTAATGCTGGAGCTGCACACAGCAGGCATCCAGTGGTTGAAGCTCCAGACAACTAGTGTTAAAACACATCATGATGGAGTTATACATGCAGGGCTTCCTTCAATTTCAAAGAGACATCTCTATAGACTGTTTAGACACATTTAGACAGGAAAATGCTGTTTCTTTTAAGGGAAAAATATAAAATAAAAAAAGCTATTTTTGAATTATTTATCTTTAATATAACATTGTCAAGTTAAACCTGTATGTAAGCAATCAAACCTATCCTAAATGAGTGACATTCTCAATTAGTAAAGGAAATCTATTTAAAGTGTTTTGTTTTAGGAGTTGAATTATTTCTTTTGGAATCTAACTTAAATGTGAGACAGCGTCCCTTAGCTTTGGTGTGTGTTTTTTTTTAGTTTGAGCATCTTCAAAGTCTATATGATTTTTAGGCATTAAGAAGATCTGCAAGATACTTTGGTGGAACGGAGACTAAAAATAGAATAATGCATTTTCGAATCAATACTAAAACAGCCTTAATATCAGTGTAAGAAAGCAAAAGAAAGTGTAAAGTGATCCAAATGTTTAGTTCTGTTAAGGAGAGCTTGTCCAGAAAATTAGATGGGAAAAAAAAAAGAGAACAATTTTTTTTACAGAACCCCTGATCACTGTATCTGCCTTAAAATTAGCCTGGAAAGTTTATGGAATTTATTTCAACTTTATTAGCAAAATTAATACAGCTTAAACATTTTTAAATTTCTTTGCATAACAACTTAAAGCTACAGTGTGTAATAATTACAGGGATATACAGTCAGAAATGTAATATATTATACATAACTATGTTATTTATCATCATCTACGAGCTCAGCCTCTTAACCTTAATATTTGCGTTGCCTTAGAATTCGTTATTTATAATTACATAGGAGCGGGTCTCGCAGCCATGGAGGCAGACATCTTTGCGCTACGGCAGCGCAGAGCCAACAAACTAGCGATTGCGAGATCGCCAAAAGGTCACAACGATGTAGAAAAAATAACGGGTATATTTATTATCTTAAGTCTACATGAAATCTATACCCTACACAGACTAATGAAATACTATCTGTAAAATTATCTATGTAAACAAACCTCATCACTTGAGAAGGTAGGTGATGCGGACGTCGTGGAAGACATTTTGTCCCGTAACGCTCGCCGTACTGTTGGGGGGGAGAAGCGGTGGGGGGGAGATGTTCATGTTGCTGCAGTCTGCAGTCTGACCGCTAGATGTCGCTAAAAGTTACACACTGTAGCTTTAAACACTATCCCAAGCTTTCAATATCTCAAGGATCATTGTTCATTCCACCATCCAAAAATGGAAAGATTAACCAACACGTGGCTGTACATATAAACAGATAAGCCAGTCGAGACACAAAACTTTAAACATTTATTCACGAATACCTGAGGCTAATGGAAAGTTTGTGCCAAGACTTTAAAGATTAAGTTTTCTGATGTTCCCATCCTAAGTGACTGAACCAGAGCCTTTTGCGTAAAAGAATTGGGAAGAATTTCAGATTAGATGTATAAAGCTATTAGAAATTCACTACAAAAGACTTGCAGGTACCACTGAGGTGAAAGGTATTATTACTATAAAGGTATTAAGAATTGACATAAAGGAGTGAATGAATAAAACAAAAGACTTCGATATTTTTACTAATTTTTCTGATCAATTAATCTGTTTTTTTTTTGTTTTTTGTTTTTTATCGATCAATAATCAGATAGGAAATGGTTCCTTAAAGAAGATTTTTTACTGAATTAAACCAGGTGAAACTAAAACTTTTTCACTTTAGGAGTTCTGGATAGAGCATCCTGATGGAAAAAAACTTTTTTTTTTTTTTTTTTTATCTTAAATGCAAAATATTACATGCATATTTTAATTTAATTGCTCCTCTAAGTGGGTCACTCTGTCAGCTAAAGACATGTTTAGAGTCTATCTTTGAGTCTCTATTCTCCAGTCGATTGTCGATTAATCAGTTACTAAAATAGTTGACAATTCTTTAATAATCGATTAATCACGATTAATTCGATTTATAGTTTCAGCCCTAGTAGAGATAACAGTCATGGTGTCAAGTTCTTAACAATTACTAGGACAAACAATTTTTTATTCTTATACAGAAAAGAAACAAGATGCTGATGGTCTGTAAAGTAGAAATAAGAAATAATGACACCTAGTGTTTAAAGACAGCCCCCTCCCCTTCCTATTTGAATTCATACCTTGTATCCTAGCAGTAGTGTCTTTTGTTGAGGTTTTCAGCTGAAGAGCTTTTGCTGATGTGAGATCAATGTGTGAAGCACATGTGAGCAGGATTACATGTAGATTAACTATGGAGATTTAGAAGGAAAAGGAACAGAAGTACAGGTTGTGTGGAGGTTTAAAGAGGACCCAAATGCAGAGACGGAAACTGAAGTGGTTTCTTGCAGAATTAATATTTCAAAGAGTGGCAACTGAGGCAAAAATCCAGAAAAATAACAAAACACAGAAAACCAGGAGGCATCAGGGAAAACATACATGAGGAGCTAAGAAAGGATGAGGAACCAGCAAACAGTAACAGAAGAGGAGGGGTATATGTGTCAAAGAGAGCAAAGACTGTGGTAAGGAACTGATGGGAGCAGGTGCGGACAGAAGAATCAAGAAGGGGAAGGAGACTGATACAAAAAGGCAACAGAGGGTAAACAAGAAAAACATAAGAACTCAAATACAACCAGAAAACAACACAAAATGGAAATGAAACATATGAAAACTCAAAAAAGAAACTTAAACAGAACCAAAAAGTGCAAAACTGGGAGACAGTCAAACTCTGATTATCTATTTATTCACAACTTTTTACTTTTTGAAAGGTCTCTATATAAAATATGTACACTTTTCATGTGTTTGCATTCGATAAGAGGATATTTTTTATAATTTCTACCTTTGGCTGTGTGCCAACGTAACTAGACTTTTATTCTGTTTTTTTTTTTCCTTCTCTGAAATAACAGCCTATTTTCTGATTTTCTACCATGTGTGTTTATTTAACGTGATTGGCATAGCTGTAAGAAAGCTTCATGAATGCATATAGAAAGAAAAATAAATCCCACTTTAAGCTCTTTAATGTATTCTGAGGTTTCAACTACAGCATGATGGTTACAATGTCCCCCTCAGTATGTGCAGATGCCATGGTTTGACTTTTGTGGTTTCAGTTGTCACTTTTGGTTTCTTAGTTACCATCTAACACCTGCTTTGTTTAGGTGTAATGCTAGAGCCAGTGTCAGGTAGACAAATGTCGAATATCCCTGTCTAGTGTTTGGTGGATGGACTGAGACATTTTTCATCTTCAGTTTTTTGCTCAAAATGACCCTTAAGTTTTAAGGATCATACTTAATTTTAGGAACCGCACTGGAGAAAAAAGTGTACATTTTTTAAGATTTAAGGAAGATCAGAGAGCAAACCAGGTATTCTTTATTCTCATAATGTTTTAAATCATATGTAAGATTTTCTTTGTGTTTCTGATTAGAATTTGATTTCATCAGAAGATAAACCAAAAAAAAAATTCAGGCCTTATTCTGCTTCTCATAAATTCTTAGGAAATTTTTACTGTTGTCATGGATCCTAAAACAGTAAACAACACTCTAGGAAGTTTAGTGTCCAGAAAATTGTTATGGAAGTTTCTTGAAAAAATATTTTGTTGTATATCCATGAACCTAAGATGCATTTTAATGAGATGTTAAAGAACCAGAGGCTCTCTGATTAAATCTCTCCTTGTTCAAGCTGTTTGATTGGGTGGACAGCCATGTCTTGGTTGGTTTATTATCGTGCCTCACTCCTACTATTCCCTATTAAAAGATAAAACAGGCTTTATGTATACAATTTATTTATTTTTTGTAGCCTAGCCTTTCAAGACCTGTGGAATGTTCAAGATTTGCCACTGTGCTGTATAACCCATTGTTTAGTTCCAGTTACCCTGGTGCATACGTATGATACATTTTTAGAGTTGTTTTCTTTCTGCAAAAGCCCACTACATGTTTTACAGTGGGGCCAAAAAGTATTTAGTCTGCCTCTGATTGTGCAAGTTCTTCCACTTCGAATAATGAGAGAGGTCTGTAATTTTCATCATAGGTACACTTCAACTATAGAAAAATAAATCCAGGGAAGCACATTGTAGGATTTCTAAAGAGTACATTTGTAAATTATGGTGGAAAATAAGTATTTGGTCACCCACAAACCAGCAAGATTTCTGGCTCTCACAGACCTGTAACTTCCACTTTAAGAAGCTATTCTGTCCTCCGCCTATTACCTGTATAATTGGCACCTCTTTGAACATGTTATCTGTACAATAGACACCTGTCCGCAGCCTCAAACAGGCACACTCCAAACTCAACCACGGCCAAGACCAAAGAGCTGTCAAAGGACATCAGAAAGAACAATGCAGACCTGCACCTGGCTTGGAAGAGTGAATCTACAATAGGCAAGCAGCTTGTGGGAGCAATTGTAAGAAAATGGAAGACATACAAGACCACTGATAATCTCCCTCGATCTCGGGTTCCATGCAAGATCTCATCCCGTTGGGGTCAAAATGATAATGAAATGGTGAGCAAAAATCCCAGAACTACATGGAAGGACCTGATGAATGACCTACAGAGAGCTGGGGACAAAGTAACAAAGGCTACCATAAGTAAACACACACTGTGCCGAGAGGGACTCAAATCTTGCTGTGCTAGACATGTCCCCCTGCTCAAGCCAGTAAATGTCGAGGCCTGCCTGAAGTTTGCCAGAGGGCATATGGATGATCCAGAAGAGGATTGGGAGAATATCATGTGGTCAGATGAAACCAAAATAAAACGTTTTTGTAAAAACGCAACTTGTCGTGTTTGGAGGAAGAAGAATGCAGAGTTGCAACCCAAGAATACCATACCTACTGTGAAGCATTGGGGGAGAAACATCAGGCCATGTATCGTTAGATGTTAAGCCAAAACCTCCTTCCATCAGTGGGTGCCTTGAAGATGAAACGTGGCTGGATCTTCCAGCATGACAATGATCCCAAACACACAGCATGGGCAATGAAGGAGTGGCTCCGTAAAAATAATTTCAAGGTCCTGGAGTGGCCTAGGCAGTCACAAGACCTCAACCCCGTAGAAAATTTATGGAGGGAGTCGAAAGTCTGTGTTGCCCAGCGACAGCCCCAAAACGTTGCTGCTCTAGAGGAGATCTGCATGGAGAAATGGGCCAAAATACAGTGTATGCAAACCTGGTGAAGACCTCTGTCATTGCCAACAAAGGTTATGTTACAAAGTATTGAGTTGAACTTTAGTTATTAAACAATTACTTACTTTCATCATAATTTACAAATAAATTATTTAAAAATCCTACAATGTGATTTCCTGGATTTTTTTCTCTCACTTCATCTCTAATAGTTGAAGTGTACCTATGATGACAATTACAGACCTCTCTTATTATTCTGAGTAGGACAACTTGCACAATCAGTGGCTTACTAAATACTTTTTGTGCCCCCGTAGATATTTATTAATTTTGTACAAAAACAAAAACAAAAAAAAAACAGAGAAAGTAAATATAGTGTCCTTTTCAGTTAATTTCAAATGAAGTATTTTCTGTTGAGTACATAAAACCCTGTGTTAACACAAGCCTTTCTTTGTCTTGCATGACAAAATGTTTTAAAGGTTTTAGGGGCATGAATAGTTCTGCTCTATTTCATTAATGAAAGACTCAATGTCCTCAAGAAAGGTCGAAAATCACACAGGCTTCTGGCATGAATTTCTTTCATTTTCTGTAAAGAAGAGTTAATACATAGGAAGATACAAACGTTAATCTGATCATGATGTGAAATCCTGCAGAATCCACTCTAAACTGGGAGCTATGGAGGACAGGATGAGGAAAACACCTGCAGGTCATCTGGAGAAAGCAAAGGATATTTCAGCTCCACGTTTATCCGATTTTGGAGAGGACAATAAGAGGCTTGAACGGGAAGGCCGAGCCCAGCTGGAACACAACGACAGTCTCTTTGTTTCACACGAAGGAGAAGCTCACAGCTTTGAGGTGCAGTTTCCAATTGATCAAAAGAATATCAGTATCTCTTTCCTAGAACTGTTTTACTATTTAAGTATTACCAGTATTGCTTCAATTTAGTCCTCATATGAACCCTCTTTTGCAGAAATGCAACTTTTAACCAGAAGATGTCACCGTTATATTGCAGTGCTTCTATTCGCCTGCTTAGCCTCATTTTCCCAGAAAAATACAATAATAATGCTTTGCTAATTTACATAAATAAAGTTCATGATCAGTTTAAACACAGCCTGACAGTACATCGGGCGGGGAAATCTTCCCAAAGTTCCAAAGCATTTCCAGCTGCAGCTGAGCCAGCTATATAAAAATGTTTCCCAGAAAATTTAAATTTGAGGTTTAAACTGACAAGAATGATAAAATTATGCAGAAGAGTGGGTTGCCAATTCACTGTCTCAAGTTTCCAGGTTTCCTTTGCAAATTTCAGTCACACTCTCTTGCTTAATGTAGCAAGCAATGTGCCATAACAGATTAAGAGGAGCAGGCTCAGGAGTTCAAAGTTATGCATCTCTTATGAAGGGATTTGAGAAGCAGTCGAGGTTATGCGAATGCTCTTACCATTTCCATCACTCTGACTGATTAAACAGTTATCTTACAAATTCAGGGAATACCGTGGGGAAACTTCAGTTCTAGTTGCATCCCTGAGGAATTAAGTTGTTTATCCATGTTATTTATTAATGGTAGATCAAACGGCTTCCAGGATGAAGGACCAGTTGCTAGGAAACTGCTGAAAAACTTAGAAGAGTTGTTAACTCAAAGAGCGTGGCCTGCTTTTGGCTGAGGGCTCTGATGCAGTTGTCAGGGTCGTTGGTATGCAAAGGTGAAGCCCTCATCATATTTCCTGATTTTCATTATAAAAAAGCAGTAATTTATTCCTTCTGTAGCACTCCAACTTTACGAACTGCCTGCTGAGTGAATTTGTGCGAACCTAAAATAGATATTCATCCAAGTGCCTTAGGTGCTTCATGAAGTTATCTGTTCAAATGCGAGGAATTCATGTCTCTGTTTCTCTTGTCATTTTAAGATCAATGAAAGGATTTCACTACATAATCTCCATCAACTGAAATTAGCATTTGAGGTACTATTGAGATTTTACCTTTAAATTTTTATCAGCAGTTATTGTGAAAATGTTCTATTAATTCTGTTTTTTTACATTAAGGAATGTGATGTGAGGGGGAGAGGATACGCTGATGTGGAGAATTTTGTACGCATAATGAAAAAGCATTTGGACAAACCAATCGTGGTAAGACGATAACTATGTTTTATTATTATTTAGGCATAATTTCCCATCTAAAACTTTGGCTTAGGTTATGAAATAATATTACAGTCTCACAGAACACTGTTAAATTGATCATCTGAAGAAGTAAAGGATTTTAGAACAGTATTTATATTAAGGCTTGGGCATTAGTCAGTAAAAGCAGAAAGATGCTCAGAAATAAACCTAAAGGAAATGCAGTGATCAACAGAAGGAAACCCTTACTGAAAGTAACCCCACATTATTGACATTTTCCACAGGCCATGTAGGGAACGCAGCCAATAGCTGAAGAATGTGCTCTGTTCAGACAAGCTCAAACCTGGCTCTCATTCAAAATCCTTTGTGGCAGAAAACTAGAACTGATGGCAAGGTATATTTAGCTAAATGCTGTTAGTGGTGGCAAAAGACTTGAGGTTGGTTTGAATGTTTCAGCAGCAGAATAACCCTAAACACACAGCCAGATACAGTATACTATGGATTGCTAAATACTGGAATGGCACAAATTTTGTTTTATTCTTAAAGCTGGGGATTGCTTTCTATATAATCTCCATTTAATTGACTATGTTTGAGCTATTTTAACCCGTTAACCGCTTGGTGAATCACATGGTTGACCATCTGTTAATCAAAAATAGAGGTTGGCAAGGCAGTAAAAATGTTAAAGAGGAAAAATAATGTCCAGGATTCAAAATCTGGTGAAGACATTGACCCTAAAAAGCTGGCTGTTTTAATTGCAGAGAAAGATATTTCTATTGTTGAGCATATTACAAATGCAAATCTATCCTGATTTTTAGTTATAAATGAAAATAGGAATTTAGTTTGTGTTTGTACATAAGATAAAAACCCTGTAATGTTTTGCAGTTTGCGGTTGCATCAAAGTTTATTTCTGTCATTTTTCCATTTCACAGAACAATGAGCAGATTCATAGTTTGTTTAAAAAAGTTGATTACTCAGATCAAGGAAGGATTTCATGGGTGAGTTATATTCAACTTCTATTTGTGTAATGGAGCACACTTGAAAAGAAAAGGAATTTGTAGAAGTCTTAGAAACAATATTGAATGCAGGATTAATTAATGAAGGTGTAACAAGAATGCACATCAGTATAGAGCCTTAGGATGTGGCTGCCTTTACACTGCCAATTGAATCAATATAAGCAACTGCCTTGAAAGCTTTTAGTGGTGGCATGAACATGTCATGTGCTTTAAATGATTTCCATTTTTTCTCTTATTTGTGATCAATGGAGATTAGTGCTTTTCTGTATGCAATGTAACTAAATCCCCACATTTTGAAAGTACAAAGAGGGATGTGATGTGTTATTATTCAGATGGAGTTCTCCACCTATCTGCTGGAGCAGTATAAGGCAAAGGAGGAAACTTTGAGACGCAGCAAGCAGGTGACCTTTAATTTGCCAGCCACCATGAGCGATGGTGTTAACAGCGTTCCTATAGTCAACATCCACTCCACCCACGAAGGGACCGTGTTAACAGTGAGAGAGGACGGGTTCGTCTGTCAGTGGAGTCCCGAACTGAAACCTCAGAGGATGAAGCACATGTTTGTATGTACTCATTTTGAGAAATGTTTTTGGAATGTTTATACATTCATTTATTGTTTTTTCCCCCCATATTTTCCTTAAACAACTAAAGAAAAAATAAAATGCAACTAAAAATCCATAAAAAATAAAAAGTTAATTAAGTTAAGTTACATATCAATTAAAAACACTAATGTATTCAAGTTTTTATTTCAGTAAATTTTGACCTCAGACCTTAAAAAACACAATGTTTAATACCTGCTTTAATTTTGTTACCTTTTTAAAGTTACTCTTAGTCTAAAGAATTTAGCCTCATCAGTGGGCTGGAGCTAATTACCGTAATACAATTTCACTATATATGTAAAATACTGTGGTTTGGTCATTTGAACCTTTACTCTGTACAGTATCTCATCCCAGAAGAGTTAACTGAAAATCAGTAGAAAAGTTTTTGATATGTTTTGTTGGCATCTTTTTTTAGTCTTTCCAAAGTTTAGGTGCTGTTTTTTTTGTTTGTTATTTTATGTAGCCAAAACATTGATTTTGATTTTAGTTTGTTGCTTTCCCATGGTTTTCCTATGTCTACTGTATAAACCATTGGCTAATTCATGTACATTTAAGCCTTTTTGACAGATTCCTAATAAAATATAATTAGTTTTTTATCCTTTCCCTGAGCAAGTTAATAAATCTAGTTATGGAGAAAAGTACAGGTATTGTAAATACATCATGACAAACAACCAAAATTAATTGATCCTTATATTCACATAAAGAAATTTGTCAATTTTTCTAGAACGAGGGACTTCTCAATACAATGTCAAAGTGGGTAACTGATTTCGCTCTAATGTCAGAGTACAGCAAGCTGATGACTGGAACAGGGTGAGGACTTCATGATTACTTCAATGAATGCTTTTATTAACAAGAAGTTGGGCTTACATTTATTGTTCCTAAATCCTTTTTTTTTATTTTTAGGGATGGTGAGATTCAGTTTTATGAACTTTCCACATTAGAACCTTATTGTCAAATCAGTGGCTTGGAAACAATACCTTTGACTTTAGACTATGGGTGAGCTGGAGAAGAAACGCTTTGACATGTTTCTGCAGTAATCTACCTAATATATTTCATCATAATTTTTTGTCTTTAATGCAGTCAAGCTGGGACAGATAAATGCTGTTTTGTATATGGAGACATGGAGGTCAGTTTGTTTTCAAAACCTAATTAAATCACATGCTTATCTAAACCAAACATAAAGATATAATAAAGTGAAACTTCTAAGGCATGGGTCTTCAACGTTTTCCAGGCCAAGGACCCCCAAACTGATGGC